ATTGTCTATGCCAGATACTGCAGATCCGTTGGCTAAATACCATCAGTAACAACCTACTATGAGAGTGAACAAACCAGATTCCAGCAGAGGAACAAATTAGGACGAAGCACACAAGTGTTTCACAAGACAGAGTGCTCATTTAGAATCCTCAAGGCCAAAGGAGAAAAGGAAGACCAAAGAACACAATACACCGATAATTGGGAACAGAAATGAAAATAACGATCAGCGATTGAGTAGTAATGGAAAGGAGAATGAAGAACACAGTAGATTGGAGAATGCTAGTGGGCTGCCTAAGCTCCATTGTGAGTAACAAAAGTAAGTAAGTAACTAAATATAAAAGCTGAGAGATGGAAAAACAGTACAATGAAGACATTAAACACCCACAACCCCATCTGAAAGTTTACTCAGGATCGTCAGGTCTTGCAGTCGGAGTTTAACTTTAAATGTCATCTATTTGTATACGTGTCTTCAGTACTGCGCAACCATTGGTATGTATATTTGGTATACATGGCTGATTGCGGAATCTCAGAGTTTTAGTCACAAACTGATATTTAGTGGCTGTTTAAACAAGGTCAGTGTTCTGATAATCCCATTCAAACATGGAGTAAAAAGAAAAGTACACGGAATACGTTTTTTTTCAATTAGTTTCTCATCATGATCCCACAGTTATATATATATATATACACTCGGTGTTCAACTACTGTGAAACCGATTCTTTCAAGATTAAAAAATCGATGGCATACATTTTCAATATCTAAACCTTACAACAATAAAATAAAAGCTTACTTTTGCATTACAATTAATCGCATCATCTTCATTCTTAGTTAAAATTGAAGATTTCATGTTAGCGGATGCATTAACACTTGGTTTGATTGTATAAATGGATTTACGTCGAATTACTCCTACATCACTTGAAAAACTACCCATCAATCGTTTTGCTATTGTTTTTTCTGGGTAAGCAGATTCAATAACCTAAAGATATAAACATCAAACAGTCATTATAACATGTATCTGCAAAGTGATCATCAATGATGCTCAATCAAGAATTCATAAATATCAACAAATTATGAATAGCAAGTAGCGGGAGTCATGGATGCGCACCGCCAATAAGTCCCATATCAGGACGAAACAGCCGTCCAGTGCTTTTAGGTTTCTAACAGTGGTTTAACATTGGTCGGTTCATGATTTCAAAAAGTAACTCAACAATCTCCACAATCCCATATTGCAAATTATGCACAAACAAAACGAAATGGTAAAAGGATGATGTACATTAAAACGTCTAAAACAGTGAAAACCGTGTAGAACATTTCCAGTCATAACAAATAGTAATCAGTCTCTGTCAGTCGAGAGACATTGTAACTGAAACAGTTCTTATGAAACTCTTTATATGAATATTGAATTGTTAAGAGCAATACTTCTGTAGAAAGTTTACGAACAATTTGACGAAATCTTTGAGAAAAACATTTTATGCTATTAAGTTTCGTATCACTTTTACCAGTCATCCTCTTATTGTTACATCTGGATGAACATTGAAGTAAATGGAAAGTTAAGTAACAAATTTACAGACTATTGACGTATATTACCTAATTTTATTTTTAATTATTAACTAATTAGACTATCGGGGTATATTTAATTCCTTTTATTGTAAGCTTTTTTGCTAACTCAAAAATTATTTATCACGTAATTTACTTTTCCTATTTTGTTGACAGTTTATTTATTTATAGTCATCTCTCTTACTCAAAGTCAGTTTTGTCTAACCCATGTGTTAATGGGTGTTAATTTCCATTTAGTGGTGCGATATGGCCTGGTTTTGTGTGCAAGAAATCTTGGACTGGCGGTGATTGGTTTTTTGTGCTTACCCTTCGGTCGAGGCAAGTTAGTATTGGGCCGTCCTTGAAACATACAGTAGCAAGTTGCAGATTAGTCACTTAAGATCGTCTGCATATTGGCTAGCTCAAAGCTATAACACCTATGGTTTGTAGATATGTTAGAGATACACTTCTGTGTTAAGCCATAATAATGTGTATTTGTGTGTTGATTTGCGCTTGTGAGGCAGATTACATTGGCTACATAAATAGAGAGCTTTCTTAAACGTAATTTCTAACGTTTTCATGCGTAGTTTGTAAACCAATTAGTAATTCAGTATTGGGAAATTTTTTTAATTCTGATCACACTACCTCCGAAGATATATCTATTTGAATCACTTATCCACTCAAACGATTTAGTTACGAAGGAAAATCAATAGCTTGTTGTAATACAAAGGGGTTAGTGGTTCATCTTTCCAAACACAAACTCTGTGTGCAAAAACGACAAGCACAGGTTATTAATCTTCCATGGCCCTAACACTTCATCTTTTGTTGACAGAAAATTGATTGTTGATACATCCGTATAATGTTTTTGCCTTAAGTTGCTCATTGTTATCACTTCCCCCTTTTATCGTATTCATCAGGTGGACAATTGTCTCCCTTACATTTGGTTTCATCTTGTCATCTTTATTTAGATTCTTGATCGTAGCGCAGCATCTTTTCACATTTTTATGTAGTCAACTTTCTGTTTTTCAGTAGACTATTAGTTATCTAAATATAAATACGTAAATGAAATTGAGAAAAATAAGACTTTTCTTTTCATTGAAATTATGAATCGATCATTTAAAGACCACCATTAGAAACTTGGAAGCACTGGATGGCCGTTTCGTCCTAGCATAGGATTTATCAACAGAGCACATCCACAACCCTTGCTCGTGGAAGTCTAACAACGATGGGTTCAAAATTTCCGTGAAAAACAACAGTCTCTATAATTTTACCTATAATGAATATCAAACAATTTACTCACTAGTGACTGGCTTCATTAGGAAATTCTCAGAGTACAAGTGATAAGCGGCCACCAGTGAAGTGCAGCCGTGTCGAGTATAGACAATTACCTACCGAAGACAATAGTTGATGTCTCACATTACCTAAGATTGATTGAGGTTAGACATTAACACTGTTAGATACCGGCTAAGAGGTCTAGAGGTAAGGTGTTCACTTGCGTCACCAACAGTCTTGGGTTCGATTCCCGTGGAGTGATGAATCCAAGACAAAACGGCGTCTAGTGGTTGCAGGTTTCTAAGGATAATCTAACAACGATCGATTCTTGATTTCAAAGAAAAATATGTAATATTAATAAGACGAATAATAGTTTATAATATTATATTAAAAACTGTCAATCTTTTTTGAAAGTTTTAATTTACCTTAACTACGGTTTCAATTAATTTTGGTGTAGCAGGTCTTTCAGGTATAATTTCGATAATTGCTTCATTATCATTATCATCATCATCATCGCCATCATGTAATTCATGACTTTTTTCTTTGTGTAATTTTTTTTTCACTTTCACTGCTTCATTGGTTGCTTTTTTCTTGTCTCGATTAAGCATTCGTCTATGTAGTTAGTATATATAAATAAGGCAGAAAGATAATTTTGTCAATAATTTGAAAATCAAATAAAATAATAATTGATAGAAGATATTTTGTAATCATTGAATACTATGAACTTTGAGCAATTGTTTGTTTTTTTTCTGTTATGGAACCTTCTAAGTACGGTAAACGAATAACTTTTACATTACAGGGTTGTGAAGATTGTTAAGTTACACATTTTTGAAACCATGAATCAATCAACGTTAGACCACTATTAGAAACCTGGAAGCACTGGAAGACGGCCGTTTCGTCCTGGTATGGGACTCCTCAGTGGCAGTGCGCATCCACGACTCTTGCACCCCGCAGGACTCGAACTCAGGACCTTCGGCATTGTGCGCAAACGCCCTAACCGTTAGACCACTGAGCCGGTAAATCTCAGACATTGTAAAGAGCGTATTTTCTCTAGGTCATTGAAATTTTTCTCCAATGATTTTACTAATTGTAACATAATTCAATGCTTCACACGACACATCGATTTCATACGCTATAAAGTACTTCAAACCGACTTTAACATCGACCCCAAGTTTGGAATTCTCCTGTTGTTTACCTATGCTTACTAACCATCTAAAAAAATAAGCTCTCTCGGATGACTACTTTTATGTGGGTTCACTGGCTCTTAGGGAACCAGTTACTGTAAAAAACACTATTCAGAACAATTAAAATGAAATACTTATGGATCCATAAGAAGTTCTGTGATCCGATACCTTGTAAACTTAAATCATTCATTTCATCAAAATATACTCATCGTTCAAAGTTATATTGACAGGGTAAATCGAAATCAATCAAACATAGTGCGTTTCCGTCCCTTTGAAATCGCCTAAACTTTTGGCATACACTTTTTAATTCATTATCGTAACATATCCTCTAATTTATCAAAAAGAGAAGTTTTAAGAAGTTATTCTCCTTGTAGATACTTTATATCGGGAGGTGAGTTTGAGTTAAACTTTGACTGTAAATCAGAAAGCAATGGTTGGCTGTTTCATTTTAAGGTCGCTGAATGATGTAAACCCGAAATCTTAAAACCTTATGAAAAGCATGTAATCCTTAGATAAGTGAATTTACCTTTGGTGATATTGATTTCCTATGTCAGATGTTTTCGATAGGGACATATGATAGTTGCTCAATATATATATATATATATATATATATATATATTCGATAATTCTACAGTTGAAAAATATCTGGAACTCCAAACAACTTTCAACAAAAACCAAAATCAGGATTTTCAATACAAATTTCAAGACAGTTCTACTGTATGGAGAGGGAACTTAAAGAAATACGAAAGCCATCATCCTCAACATACAAGTATTTATTAACAGTTGTCTACGCAAAATACTTCAGATGCGTTGGTCAGACATCATCAGCAACAACTTACTGTGGGAGGGAACAAACCGGATTCCAACGGAGTAGAAAATCAGGAAGAAGAGGTTAAAAGTGGGTAGAACACACACTGCGGACATTACCCACCTGCGTCACAAGATAAGCCCTCACATGAAACCCTCAGGGTCAAAGGAAAAAAGGAAGGCTGAAGAACACATTACGCCGAGAAACGGAGAAAGACATGAGACGAATGAGCGAAAATTGGACAGAAGTGGAAAGAGAAGTCCAGGCCAGAGTAAGTTGGAGAATACTAATCGACGGCCTATGCTCCACTGGGAGTAACAGGCGTAAGTAAGTAAGTAATATTCCATAAAGTTTTAAAGATACACCATATAAAAATCGATGAAATTTTTTCAATTACATTTATGGATATCAGTGGTTTCTTCACCATGAAATGATCAATCATTCATTGTTAGACCACCATTAGAAACCTGGAAGCACTGGACGGTCGTTTCGTCCTGGTTTGGGACTCATCAAAAGCGCGCATCCACAACTCCTGTTACTAACAGATTGATCAGAGTTCAACATTAACACCGTTGGGTGCTGGTCAAGTGGTGCAGAGGTTAGTGGTCCAAGCACAAGACCGAAGCTCCTGGGTCCGAATCCTGAGAGTGACAAGAGTTGTGGATGCGCACTGCCTATGAGCCCCATACCAGGACGAAACGGCCGTCCAGTGCTCCCAGGTTTCTAATGATGGTCTGTCTAATAATGATTATTTGATGATTTCAATCCATGAAATCTTCGTAGATGTATGAATATAAGGCGAAAAATCAATAAATATATATATGTTTATATGTAAGCGAAAATTATTGCAACTAACTGTGATCGTTTCTTTAATAATTCATGTGCTTGTGGATAATTTTTCATAATTTCTTCAAAATCTTGTTTAGATAAACTAAACAATGTTGAAAAACCTTTTGATCTTACATCAGCTGTTCTTCTATTCTTACCAGATAATGCCAATAAACTAAATAAGAAAAAAACAGAAAATGAAACTGGTAATCTATTAAAAAGAGATTGATGATAAAAGGTGTTTTTTTCTGTTAAAAAAATCAATACCGAAACAAGCGTTTTAAAAAATTCCCATGTAATTTTCAAACAAATACTTATTAAGAAGACAATCGTTTTAAATAAGTTGATGATCAGGCTTGACAGTTACTGTGTTATTGTTACTCAGGCGAACGTAAGTCATTTAATAGTAAGTTAAGTAATATTATATGTTAAGTGCGGTGAACTTTTGTGTCTGTTACTCCATAAATACTTTAGGATTATGTTTCATTGAAATCATGAACCCAATCATGTTAGACCAGTATTGCAAACATGGAAGCACTGGACGGTGATTTGGTCCTTGTATGGAACATTTGTGGTGTGACGATTTATTGCGTGTTCTGAAGCTCGGTTTATAAATCAGAACATGAACTCGTATTGATGAATACGTTTATTCGGGACACACCACAAAGCGAAGCGAATCAGAGAAGGCTAAGAGCCAACTCTTTGGATTACAATGCGAGCGAATGGGCGAAAGAAGCGATATGGAGAAGGCTAGTGAGCCAACTCAAAGAGATAGAACATGACTAAGAATATATAGTCAGATAAAAATAAGACAGACATATGACAAGCGAAATAGGCATGCACACACATGAACAAAAGCGACGAATGATTGGCAAGGTCGAATGACAAGTGGGACATGTCATGTGAGCTCATACAAACCCGACAATAATAAGAACGAATGGTACATATAAATTGTTGCTAAACAAATGGCTTGGTTAAATAAATTAATCGAAAGGGCTTAACCAAGTTAGATGTAAGCGAACTGGAATATATGTGGAGGCACTACACATAACCGTGTTCATTGCCGACTCAGTGGTCAACTTGTTAAGTATTCGTTCGTGAGAATGAATGCACTAAGAAGTTAGAGTTCCGATCACCCAGTTGTGGATAAGCAGTGCTGATGAGTTCCATACCAAGACAAAACAATTGTCCGATGCTTCCAGGTTTTCGATGGTGGTCTTACAATCATCGGTCCATGATTTCGATGAAGCTCAATCATCTTCACAATGCTATACTAATACTTGGAGATTGTATCGTTTATAAATTAGAAAAGCTTTTTACTACAAATCAGAATTCTTCATAGTAGGAGGTGAAGTTGTAATCAATTTCATAGTGACGCAATAAATCGTATGAATAAAATGCATAGTAGGAGAATTTCATCTCGTTAATGGAAACAGAAATAATAATAGCAATAAAAAATACAATAATAATTATCATAACGATGTATGAATATTAGTATGTGATAAACTGAGCAATAAAATAATGTAAGATTGTTTTTATAGTAGTGTTGCATTCTCTAAGATGTATGCTTTAATCGTAAAGCTTTTGTTATCATTTTGGACAACACTATCAACGACTACTCCATGTAGAAATAAGTTTTATGATTATTCCACCAAGATTAAATTGGATTGTTCTGTAAACTAGTTGTTTCCCCAGGTCTTATTACATCTAACTGCTTGTGTTCCTGTTAACTGTCCCATTATTGGCTGACCTATATATATATATGTCTATTGATTCTACATAAGCTTACATGCTATACTTATAAAAACTCGCTAACGTTTTCTTTGACCAAGTGTAGTGAACGAGAACACAGGTGGGGCAACCGACTTGTATTTAATGAAATTACAGAGTTACTCAGTAAAATCGGAAAACCATATCGTAAATCGTCAATTCGCAAAATATCAGTTCATCATATCGAACTGGACTGCTCCTATCGCAAAACATCAATCCATTGTCATTATTCATGCGTTTCATACAAATTCCATTGTGTTCTAACTCTTCCTTTCTTGATCTTCCCCCATATTATGCTGCCAGACATTACGTTTACACTCACGTCATATACTACTTATAAGTAGCTCACACCACACAAGAATTTCGACGTTTACTTCATCGAATTTATGCCTGTAGTTATCCGTATGCTTTGAAATATATGTATGGTAGCATATTGTGTCTTCACACTGTTAGTTTGTATTTCTGTGTACACAAGTCAATCCAGTGTTCACGTTGTAAAATGTATTGGCTACATTAAAGATGAACTGTGCGAATTTTAACCAACTTTATATATTATTATGATGTAAAATAATAAATTCTCAACAAAAAAGATTAAAATAACCAAGATTTTCAACGAGTTATAAGTCATTTTAGTTAGATATGAAGTAGATGTAAGAAACATCTTGAGAAAATTTATAGCTCAGGTGGGAGACTATAGCAGAGTTTCATTCTCTGAGCTGGATGTTTTGGTTATGGAGCTTCTTATTGTTCTTTTGCCTGCATGAAGATTTGAAAAAGGTATCTCATAATTGGGCAGAACAGTTACTTTATCAAATGTCAAACAAATAGACTGTTCATATTACAATCATTCTCACACATATGATAACAGATCCCGTTTATGATATACGAAAAATATTTGAAAAATAATGAAATGTTTTTGAACTATTATTGCAAATAAGCCAATACATTCACTTTATTCATTTTTTAAGCAGCTGATCAAAGAACTTAGCAGACAAATGAAACTGGACCTATAAAATAATTTGCATCTACACTAAGAAGTACTGTTTCAGAAAAATAGAAGATTCTCAAATCTTTGCATACGAGAATTATAAACTAGAAGCTAGGAGAAACTATATTTCGTCATTTAAACCAATGTACGACGTGATTTACAGGCAGAAATTTGACTAATAAGATCTCAGAATGATCTATAGAGTTTCCAGCAGCTTCCATTGACGTTAATTCATATCAGAAAACAAATTCAAAGCAATTAGTTTCTTTTATAAAATTTTGATAGAACAATGAGAAGACGTCGTTGATTTGAAAAATGCAAAGTATTTACTGTGTACATTTCGAACAATCTGGTCAAACGTATACTTGTCAAGGTATTTTATATGAAAATTAATAAAAAGCCAATTAAATAGAAATTCCAATAACTTATGTAATGTATAGCACAAATGCAGCATATTTTTCAAATCAACTAAGTCTTCTCATAGTTCTAATAAAATATATTCTGAAATCATGAATCAGTTATTGTTAGACCACCATTAGAAACCTGAAAACACTGGGCAGCCGTCTCATCCTCGTATGGGACCCATCAGCAGTGCGCATCCATAACTCCTGCCACTCGCAGAGTTCGAACCCAGGACCTTCTGCCTGACCTCTGAACCACAGGGCCTGTACCTGATGTTGTTTATGTCTAACAATGATTGATTCATGAGTTCAGTAATAAACAACAGTCTCCATAACTCTATAATGAAAAATATATTCTATCAACTTCTTGACAGTAAATTAATCATATGATAAGAAATCAAACTACTTATTCATTGTCCTAAAATTTAAAAGAGAACAAAGCTTTCATAAGGTTAACTGCTTGAAAATCAAAGACTAACACTGATCGATTCTACTGAACGAGAATATCGATCTGTATCCGAATTTTATAAAAATATCCAATACTACAAAAAAGCACCGAATCAAAGCTTATCGATCGACTGAGATCGTACTAATCAAGAAATTTGAAAAGATTGTTTGTTTGTATGTGTGTGTCTATATGTTTTACTTGTTCAACGGTACTAATTTCTGTGAATTAGTTTGTGAATAAAAGGTTGTTCGAAACGATTCAAATGCATAGAATTGAATTGGTTTAGAAAAACATATCACACTTACCTTATTTCACCGAATACACTGCCTTCTTTAAGTGTAACAAATACAATGGAATTATTTGGACCGCCAACAACTTCAACTGCACCACTTTTTACAATGTACATTTCTTTACCGACTTCACCCTATACAAAGTAAGTAATCAATAGTTATAATGTTCATAGGATAAAGAGAAAAGTTAGATTCCATAATGTTTATACCGTCTTACTGTTTTGAACAGACTAAAAAATGTAGAAAAGTGATTGATTTGAAATGAATTGTTCGGTAAGATTACAGTTAAAAAAAACACTCAAATTTCATATTTGACTGAATAAAAATGATAAGTGTTCATATACTTTTGGTAAGTAAGAAAAAAAAATAAAATTCTTTATCTTAACAAATTTTATGAAGGAGCAAAAATGTGCCGAAAAAAAATTTTCATTCCAGGGGTTGTGAAGATTGTTAAATTACACATTTTTGAAATCATGAATTGATCAATAATGTTAGACTATCATTAGAAACCTGGAAGCACTGCAGAGAATGGCCGTTTCGTCATTCTGGTATGGGACTAACTCATCAGTGTCAGTAAGCATCCATGATTCCTGCACCTCTCAGGTGTCGAACATAGGACAATGATCAATAAGTTTCAGTGTAAAATAAACCACATTGGAACATTTTGTATCAGGTAACTTAAAAAACGTTTTTCTTTTTTCATTTTTATGTAATTTTGATTGAGATTCAAATAATCAATAAATACTATTGGTAATGGATTAGATTTCAATTCTTTTGTATAATACTAACAGAGCTAATTCAACCGTATCAAGTAAGTAAATGACAAATTCTTGACAATGTATTACAATCAGTTAAAAACGAATGGTATATAAATACTTACTTACTTACTTACGCCTGTTACTCCCAGTGGAGCATAGGCCGTCGATTAGTATTCTCAAACTTACTCTGGCCTGGGCTTCCCTTTCCAGTTCTGTCCAATTTTCTCTCATTCTTCTCATGTCTTTCTCTATTTCTCGGCGTAATGTGTTCCTCGGCCTTCCTCTTTTCCTTTTGCCTTGAGGGTTTCAAGTGTGGGCTTGTCTTGTGACGCAGGTGGGTGCTGTCCGCAATGTGTGTTCTACCCACTTTTAATCTCTTCTTCCTGATTTCCTTCTCCGCTGGAATCTGATTTGTTCTCTCCCACAGTTCGTTGTGGCTGATGGTGTCTCACCAACGAATCCGAAGTATTTTGTGAAGACAACTGGTAATGAATACTTGAATCCCATGGATGGCTTTCGTAATTCTCCAAGTTTCCGCTCCATACAGTAGAACTGTCTTGACATTTGTATTGGAAATCCTGATTCTGGTGTTGATTGATATTTGTTTGGAGTTCCAGATATTTTTCAACTGTAGAAATGCAGCCCATGCTTTGCCAATCGGTGCCCTCACATCTGCATCCGATCCACCTTTCTCGTCGATGATGCTGTCCAGATATATATAGGTGTTAATGTCCTCCAAGGCATCTCCATCAAGAGTGATTTGGTTTGAGCATGTTGTGTTGCATCTGAGAATTTTGGTTTTTCCTTTATGTATGTTGAGACTTGCTGCTGCTGAGGCTCATATAAATAATTACTATTATCACATTAAAAATTTTAATTTCTTCATTGATCGATGAAACTATCCTTTCCTACTTAATTATATATTTTGATAAGGTCAGTCAGTTAGGTAAAGAAATATATATATCAGTCATAACATATTCTATCAGTTCTCTTGAGTATAGTCTATAAATGATTACTTGTACAACCGACTAGTCATTATTATCTATACATGTATATACTAAGTGTATATATAATTCAGCCAATCAATTTATTTGCATTTCAGGGTTGTGTGGATTGTTGAGTTTCATTGAAATCATAAATCGATGATCATTGTTGGATGACCATTAGAAAACTGGAAGCATTGGACAGCCGTTTCGTCCTGGTATCGGACTCATCAGCAGTGCGCATCTACGCCTCCCTCATTGATTCACGATTTCAATCAAACTCAACAGTCTTCACAACCGTGTAATGTTCAAATCAGTGAAGCCTTTAATCTAAACTATTTGAAAAGTAGACAATATTGTTTTAACCCATAATTATTTGGTTACATATCTTTAAGAGAAGATTCTTAGGCTAGCAGAGATGAGTATATATATATATTGGTTGAATGAATGTGACAACCTACGCATCCACTTCTTACAACAGCTTAATTATTGATCATTTGGAGGCTTGTCTACCTACCTATACAGGTTTGTTTGTTAAAGAGTATAATAATTTATTCATGCCTCTCACTCTGTCTTTCTATTGATTATTTAATTTAAGCTATTTGTTAAAGTAGCCTGTTTTGTCTACTACTTTGCCACCATTAGAAACTTATATCAATAATAGTTCTCCCATCGATTTAAATACGAATTACAAAAATAATCCTGGTGGTAAATGCAACAAGCTCTAAACATCATCGATCCCAAGTGAATTACACATAAGATACAGATATTCTTTACAATCCCTTTTATCAAATAATTACTATCAGGATATACGTTTTGAATTCTGCACAAACTACCAAATGTCTGTATTTCGATCCTGATTTTCTTAGCAGAATGGTAGTAGAATTACACAGTAAATTTGCTTGGAGCCCCTCTAGGGCTACTACTGGTCCGAAATCCGGATGAAGGAGAAGGATTAGTCATGGGATGAGCAATCTCACCCCGTAGAAAACTAACTCTTTAAAAATATCGCTAACCAGGAAAAAATAATCCAAACCATTTTAACTCTGCCCTGGGAGTTAGAAGATCTTCATTGAAAGCATACAGTAGAAACATAATTCAGTTTAAATTAGGAAACGAAACCATATATCGTTGGAATTTCCTACAACCGGACGAAAGTTTGGGAAACAGTACCTTCCAGGATTATTATTGTATATATTCTGATTGTATAGTTATTAAGTAACTGGATTATTATAAATTTATTTATATTTCTTTTATCATAAGCTCTTGATCACCTCATTAGCTGTTTTTGTGTGACTTATTATTCCTAATCTATTGTCGGTTTAGTATTTACAGTCTCTCCTATTCACAGACAATTAATTGTCTCTGTCTACAGCGCCTCACATACATTGGCTTTAATGATGAGTTGCTTAATCTGTTCGATAATAGTATCGACCGTTTTTATAATTTGTAATAATTCGATAACAGTATCAACTGTTGTTTATTTGAGTATGTGTACATGCGTACTCGCTTATTACATGTCTCGCCAATTATTACCACACAATTACACAAGCAAGGTTTGCCTAAGTATGATATAACACCAAAGACAAATGGGTGAAATCGCGCAAAATCCGTAGATAAATCAGAGTTAGACATTAACACCGGTGGATGCCGACCCAGTGGTCAGATGGTTAGGCGTTCGCGCACAATACCGAAGGTCCCGGGTTAGAATCCTGCGTTCGAGGTGCAGGAGTCGGGGATGCGCACTGCTGATGAGTCCCATGCCAGGACGAAACGGCCGTCCAGTATTTCCAGGCTTCTAATGGTGGTCTAACAATGACTGATTGATGATTTCAAATGTGTAAAAAACACAAACCTCCAAAACTCTGCCTGACAATATTTATTTCATTGTATACTCGATGATTCGTTCAAACCGGATTTAGATCGCGGGCCACTAAAGTGTTGAGTCCTACTTCGAATTTCACGCAGCCGCTAAAATTCGTGTTTTATTGTTATCTCTCATTTTATGGTGTGATACTGTGGTCTACTATGTTTGGTATACTCATGTCTGCTTGAAATATAATGAATTTTGTGAAGGCTAGCTATAGACTTCTGGATTAAGAGGCAGAGTCGGAAGAAAAAACCTACCGATCAATAAATATTTAAAACTGATGCTTTACTTTTGATGCTAACCTAATTCTGATTGGCGCGTTGCATTTATTAAGCGATATTGGTTAACGGTTAAAGATGCAACAGAACTCTATGATTATTTTCAGTAACAAAGATGTAATACTACCGTGTGATGTACAGTGTAATATAGTTGGTAAATATATATAGTAAGATTATTTAAGGTAATATAATCAACAATATTGATCAGTATTTCACATATATATATATATATATAAAGATCACAATAGACATTATCTTACCTTTCGACAAATATAATCTTTAGGTAGAAATACAACAGGTTTCAATTTCAATATCATATCGTAGATGAGTGCTTTTTCACAATTCTACAATAATATGTATGCAAATGAGTATAGATTTTTATTATCATGTATAATAATTAGAATTGTTTAAATAAGGTTAATAAAATAAAAATTGATATTTGAATACCATGTAGACCATGCACATACGAATAGATGAATCAATGAGCACTCAATATTATTATTATTATTATTACTGAACGAGTGAAAGAAATTACTAAAATATAGATGATTTATTTTTTAAAATGAAAGATAAAAATGTTATTACTGAAGTTTAAATAAATTCATGAATAAATGTTTTAGTGTAATAAATTAAATAAAATGGCGTAATGTATAAAAATTTTTGGGTTACTATTTGAATTAAATATTTGTCATCTAAGATCAGTGATAAAATAATGCGAAAAACTATCAAATAACTAAAACTCTATTCACAAACAAAACGAATGCAGTCTTTTCTTTTAAATTAACCGGTTTCACTTCAAATAAACAATCATTCATCATTCAACTTTTACTCAAACAAAATCTTGATTTATCCCATCTAAAATCATCTCTACATTGACATGTTACGAATGCACGTAAACATGTCAGTTGGTATGCATGAATCATTACGAGTTTGCCTTAGTCAGAAAACGAGAGCGAGGATGGAGGATCCGACGACACGACATGCTACTCTAATCCGATTATCCCAACCCCCCATTGCAGAAAAGAAGACTTGATATGAAGTAGAATATGTATTCTACAAGTACCCAGGATGTGCGAGTGTGTTGGTCAATTTCGACGTGTTCTTAGTCTTTGTAATTAGTTCGTTCAGACAACCGTTACTAAATGGCGTCTGACGGTTATAAATCAGAAAGTAAACTCGAAGTGTTGAATATGTTTATTTTGGCACACCACAAATAGGATAGCAGACCACAAGCAGACCGGGCAGGTACGCTAGCGAGCGAATGTGCGAATGGGCGAGTGTATTAACAAGATTAAAATATTCGTATATATACAAAGGAAAATGTCAGAGTTATCGTGATATTTAAGAGATTAATATTAAAGCGAATAGGGTGCACATGCGCGTAGGCGGTAAGCAATGCTCAGTCATACCAGCTCATACAAACCACACAATAATAAAAGCAAATGGTACATATAAGTTATTGTAATACAAATGGCTTGGTTAAATAAATTAATCAAAAGGCTTGACCAAATTAAATGTAAGCGAATTCAAATATATGTGGAGGCACTACACGAGGTCCGAGTCCAGAAGGAAATCAGGATCCTGGATCCGGATCATAAAATGTTACAGATAATTCGTATTTATGCAATTAGGTCGAACAGGAAGCAGCATCGAAGTCTGTGACATTGATAGTTAAGGCGACCAACAGGGAAACAAACATTTGAAGTGACACTGATAGTCAGGACGATCATAATATTGACTAGCAGGAAATCGACCAATAGAATTAGACTTCCAAAAATAATTCTCTTAGGATATTTGATGAATACTCTAACACTACACATATGTATAATCTATTCAGTATATATTTTGTATCACTATATTTTATTGAATTACCTTTATTTTTATATTGATGTAACTATTATTTCTCATTCTTATATTTTTTACACACCACAAGGGATGATCAGTCGCCAGTTGATGCACTGATTGATAACGTGTTTGATTATGATGATATCAAGTAGTGTAGGCTCGAATCCGGTGAACTATATAAATTTCCTCAAAAATTGCAAATGAAATTTGTTAATGAGTGTCAACAACCA